TAGCATAGTGCCTAAGGCACTTGACTGCTAACCAGAAGGCTGGCAGTTCAAACCCACCAGCCACTCCTTGGAAGGAAGATGGGGCAATCTACTTCCTTAGTGATACTGCCTCAGAAACCCAAGGAGGGCTCACTATGAGTCGGGTCTGACTCGATGGCACATAACAACAACAACAATGGCTAATGAAGGAGCTCTGCCAGTATAGTGATAAGACATTTGGCTCTGATCAAAAGTTTGGCAGTTCAAACATACCAGGTCCTCCTTGTGAGGAAGATGAGGCAATCTACTTCCATTAAGATTTACAGTGTTGGAAACACAATAGGGATCTCTATGAGTCAGAATCAACTTGATGGCAGTGTGTTTGTTTTTTTGTTAATGGGTAATGATTAAGAGCATTTCTTCATGGCTGATTGGCCACTTTAATATCTTCTTTAATGCAGTGTCTGTTCATGACCTCAGCCCATTTTTTTTAATTGCACTATTTGTGTTTTGATATTGAGGTGTGGAAATATTCTGTAAACTTTAGAGATGCAATCTTGTTGGATATGTAGCTGCCAAATATTTTCTCCCAGCATTTGAGCTTTCTTTTAACGGTTTTGATGTACATAAGAATTTAATTTTTAGAAGGTCCAGACAACTAGTCTATCTTCTGCTTTTTGTACTTTTTTGTTATCTTTGAACTTCTATTTACCGCATAAATTAGGGCTCCTAAACTTGCCTGTATTTTTTCTTTGATGAATTTTATAATTTTAAGTTATACATTAGATCTTTTATCCATCTTGAGTTAACTTTGGTGTATGAGGTGAGGTATGAATCTTTTTTTCAGTTTTCTACAAAATAATATTCTATTGTGCCAGCACCATTTGTTAAAGAGACTATGTCTTCCCTATTTAATGAGTTTTGGCCCTTTGTCAAAGATCAGCATTCTATAGTTGGATGAATCTCTTTCTCAATTAGGTTCCAATGGTCTTTGTGTGTGCTATTGTACCAATGCCAGGCTATTCTGGTTACTTTGGTTGAATAGTAGCTTTTGAAATCAGGGAATGTGAGACCTCCTACTTCGTTCTTCTTCTTTAGCAGTGTTTTGCTTATCCAAGGTCTCATTCCTTTCAATGTGAAATTAGTGACTGGTTTTTCCATGTCCTTCAAGAAAGTTGATGTAATCTACATCAGATTATATTTTATCTACATATTGTGTTGTAGTACTGATATTTCCACAATGTTCAGTCCTCTTATCCATGAACATATGTTTTCCATTTATATAAGGCTCTTACAGTTTCTCATAGTAAAAATTTGTAGTTTTCATTGTATATGTCTTTTGTTTAACATTTATGTTTACATATTTTAATGATATGAAGTCATTTATGGTATATGGTAAGAATCAAATATTTTTACTATATGTTAAAAATATGAAGATCTGTAATAATATTTATACTGTTCTCCATTTAATTTACATAGAAAAAAAAAAGAAACCTACACTTTAGATTTTGAATGAAGCCGTAACTTTATACCCTTAGTAATCTTGAAAAAATTGTTCAGTTTTAATGTAGAAGAAATAGGTAAAACACTCACTCAAGTATAACAGGTAAAACTATTTGCATATGCATCCATTCTGACTACACAGAATTATTATGTATAAAAGAAATGGAAGCTAAATGTTTTAGTGAAAAGAGAACCAAGTGCTGAAACTAAATGAGTAGCTGCATATTTTATTTGTGGGAGATGCAAGATCTCAGTCTCATTTAGTGGTTATAAGATCATTTGGTTAAGTCATATTTAAAAATTTAATTTTGTCATTTACTTTAAAAAAAATATGAGACAAATTATCATCAAAGTGATGTGAAAGTATGTGTGTAATAAAAATGCATTATATTCATTTATGAAATTATCCCTTCTAATGAGAATATTCAATTAATTTCAGCACCTTAATTTGATAATATAGTATATCCAAAGTTAAAGAATTGAGAGCATTCTAAACATAGTGACACATTGATACCCTAATCAGGAATTTTCCCAAGCCATTTGACCAAGTTTTCTTAAGGATATTTGACCAAGCTTCCTTTTAAGCAAATCTCATTTATTTATCTTTCTTACATATTTCAGGTACCAGTAGAGCCATGGAGAATACAAATGGCACCACAGATATAAACTTCATACTTCTAGGACTCTTTAACCACACTCAAATCCACCTGTTCCTCTTTGCCATGGTGCTCATGATATTCATCATCTCACTGATGGGTAATGCACTTATGATCATTCTCATCCACATGGAGCCACGACTTCACACACCCATGTATTTCCTGCTTAGCCAGCTTTCCCTCATGGACATGATGCTGGTCTCAACCATTGTTCCCAAAATGGCAGCCAACTACCTAACAGACACTAAGTTTATCTCTCCCATGGGCTGTGGAGCCCAGATATTCTTATTTGTCACTCTAGGAGGGGGTGAGTGCTTCCTCCTAGCAGCTATGTCCTATGACCGCTATGTGGCCATATGTCACCCATTGCGCTACCCCATTCTCATGAATCAGAGACTCTGCTTGCTTATGACAGCAGGTTCCTGGCTTCTGGGAGTGCTAGATGGCTTACTGCAGGCTGGTGCCACTTTGAGCTTTCCATATTGTCACTCACGGAAAATCAATCACTTCTTTTGTGAAGCACCATCACTGGTGAGACTTGCCTGTGCTGACACCAAGATTTTTGAGTTTTTCATGTATATCTGCTGCATTTTGATGCTCTTGATCCCTTTCACTCTCATTTTGGCTTCCTACAGCCTAATCCTGGCTGCAGTTATCCACATGCAGTCAGTTGCAGCCCGGAAGAAAGCTTTTACAACTTGCTCCTCTCACTTGGCAGTTGTGGGACTTTTCTTTGGTACCACCACATTCATCTACATGAGGCCCAAATCTTACCATTCAGTGAACCATGATAAGGTGGTCTCAGGTTTTTATACCATCCTTACACCTGTGTTGAATCCTCTTATATACGCAGTGAGAAATAAAGAAGTTAAGGGGGTCTTGAGCCGGTGGATGGAAAAACATTTTACATGAACTCAACACTGAGCACAGTTTCTCAAAATGGCACCAAAACTGATACAGGTTACATTTATAAAATATTGTTTTGTTGTTTAGTTCATCTCATTTAATTTCTTCTTTTGTGTTTAATCAAGTTATTGGACCTTGTTTGTCAGGTTTCTGAATGATTTTTCATTGTTTCTATTTGATTAATTTAATACTTAGCAAATTAATTAAAATTATGTTTGAACTCTGTCATAGTTTGTAGTGATAGTTTTGCTATGAAATTATGGCCTCAGAAATAAGCATGAATCTTTGATTTATTGACAAGCATATGACACATGGTTTACTAAAAACAAGTATATAATTTGTAGTTTTTGATAGATGATAGAAATCATTTTCATGGGCATTCATTCTTGAATAAAAACAATAATTTGAAAAACCCATGTAGATACTAAATTTGATACTGAAGTGTGAAATAATCAATGTACAAAGCCAACAAAATATATACATAATATTGAGAAATATTTGTCAAACTGCTACTTTGGAATGTTTTATTCAGTCTATATGTAATGTAAAAATCCATAGATCTAGATGAGGAGATTTCCAGATGGAATATTAAAAACGATAATTGACTTTTCATGACTTAAGTTAAAACGTATGAGTAGAGAGATATTTCAGGTAGGAATTAGGTAAGAGGAGGGTGTAGAGGCTTCCAACATTTAAGGGAGACAAACTTGTCTGTCAGTTTGTCATCCTGTGAGGCTTTTACATTTCTGTGAGTCTCGCGGCTGTACCACTGGTGCTTCAGATGCCAGCAGAGTTGCACATGGTGCACAGGTTTCAATGCAGTTTATAGACTAAGACAGACTACAAGAAGAAGGAGACCATCCACTTCTCGAAAATTGTCAAGGAAAAACCTTATGAATAGCAAAGAAATGCTATCTGATACATTACTGAGCAACTTTATGAATAGCTTGGAAACATCATCCAACAAAGTGCAGGAAGACTAGCCCCTTAACTTGGAAGGAACTCAAAATAAGACTAGAAAAGAGCCGTCTCATTAGAGTAGAACCAACATTAATGATATGGATAAAGTAAGTCTTTCAGGACCTCCATGTGCTGACATGGCACAATTCAAGTTGAGGAGAAACAGCTTCAAACATCCATTAATAATCAGAACATGGAATGTATGAAATATGAATCTAGGAAAATTAGAAGTTGTCAAAAATGAAATGAAATGCATAAAGATTTATATCCTAGACATTACTGAGGTGCAATGGAAAGGTTTTGGCCATTATGAAACAGACAACCATATGATCTACTATGCTGGAAATGACAAACTGAAGAGGAATGGCATGACATTCATCATTACAAAAAATGTTTCAAGATCTGGCCTGAAGTACGATGCTGTTATATGCCTACAAGGAATGCCAGTTAATATGATTATTATTCAAATTCATGCACCATCCACCAAAGAGGAAATTGAAGATATTTATCAACTTCTGCAGTCTGAAATTGACAGAACATGCCATCAAAATGTGTGATTATCACTGGTTATTGGAATGAAGAATTCGAAAACAAAGAAGAATCACCAGGAGTAGGAAAATATGGTCTTGGTGATAAAAATAATACTTGATAAGGTGGATGGTGGACCAGAGAGGGGAAGGCCCTCAATGATGTAGATTAACATGGTGGCAGTGGTGAGTGGCTCAAGTGTAGCAACAATCATTGAGCTGGCTCAGGACTGGGAGGTGTTTTCTTCTGCTGTGCATAGGGTCGCTATGAATTGGAAATGACTGGATGGCACTTAACAACAACAACAACATTATTCTTTATTCAAAAATTTTCTCTTTCAGGATTTTTTATATAACATCCCACTGCCTTCTTCCATGCATGATTTCTGCTGTGAAATCAGAGCTTATTCTTATTTGCTGTAGGTAACTTTTCATTTTTCCCCTGCTGTTTTCAGTATTCTTTCTTTGTCATTGGGTTTGATGAGTTTGATGATGATATGCCTTGACAATTTTCTTTTGGGGTCTATTTTGTTTGGCATTCATTGGACTTACTGAATAGATATATTCTTATATTTCATCACATCAGGGAAGTTCTTTTCCAACAAATCATGGAAAATTTTCTCAGTGGTTTTATCTTTCTCTTCCTGTTCTAGCATTCCAATTACACATAAGTTATTACTTTTGATGATATCACACATGAACCTTAGGATTTCTTCATTTTCTTTAGATCTCTTTTCTGATTGATCCCTTTCCAAAGAAGTAGTTAGGTACTTATCTTCAATCTCACTAATTCTGTCTTCATTGATTTGATTCTTCTCCTTTGCCCTTTCAACATGTTATTTATTTCAGAAAATTTAGCATTAATCTTCTGGATTTCAATCTGTAGGTTTTGTATCGTTGTTATTTGACATTGAGTCGGACCCAACTCATAGCATCCCCTCTTTGGGTTTCTGAGGCAGTATCACTATGGAAGTATATTGCACAACCTTCCTTCTGAGGAGTGGCTGGTGGGTTTGAACTGCCAACCTTCTGATTAGCAGTCAAGTGCCTTAGGCACTATGCTACCAGAGCTCCTGTAGAAGGAAATGGTGGTTTTCAATTAGAAAATAGTGCTCAGGAGGTGCAGGTGTGTTTGCATCATATGGGACAGTTGCTTTCTCCCACTGAGACAAGAAAAAAAACAACAATCAAAAAACCATCAAAAAAGTAAAAGCAAGTGGGCAAAAAACACACACCACATAAACACACAGGATTAATCATCAAAAACAGAAAAATATAAAAATAAAACCCACAATATCTGGGGAGAGGACCATAAGAAAAAAAGAGATAGAGTAGGAGAATAATGAAGAAAAAAATTGGAAAAAAGCAAAAAGAAAACAAGGAATGGGGAGAACCATGAGAAAGAAAAATATGGAAACCAGAAACATGGAAGTGAGAGAAACCTGAAAACTATACCTTGGAAGGGAAGAATAAAGAATAATAATAATAAAGAAAATAATAATAATAATAGTAATTTTAAAACAGACAAAAACAAACTTTAAAAAAAAAAGAAAAGAAAAAATGTCTGGGTAGGGCGGGGCAAAGCATGGCACTCAGGCTCCGTCAGAGCACACAGACAGAGATGGAATTCCTTTAGGCCCAGAAGATGAGTGGAGTGAGGGATGGTTGCACATGCGTTCACTGAGAGTGCATTGTAAGATTGTACCTTTCCAGTCATTTGTGTCCAGAATATCCTTGTGGTCCCTGGCAAGTAGAGCCTATTCTTTGGTCACTGGAATCTGAGAGACTGCTGTTGTTTAAATAGCAAAAATGTTCAAATTGCTTGTGTTTTGTTGTTGTTAGGTGCTGTTGAGTTATCTCTGACTCACAGCAACCCTGTTCACAGTGGAAGGAAACACCTCCCAGTCCTGAGCCAGATTCATGATTCTTGCTATACTTGAGCCCATCGCTGCTCCCACCATGTTAATCCATCTTGTTGACAGCCTTATTCTCTTTTGTTGACCCTCCACCTTCCCAAGAATGACATCATTCTACAAGGAATGGTCCTTTATGACAACATGACCAAAATATGTGAGATGAAGTCTGGCCATTCTCTCCTCTAAGGAACATTCTGGCAGCACTTCCTCTAGAACAGACCTGTTAGTTCTTTTAGCAGTCCATGGTACTTTCAGCATTCTTTGCCAACACCATAGCTCGAAAGCTTCAATTCTACTTCAGTCATCCTTATTCATCCTCCAGATCTCACATGAGCATGAGGCAGTCGAAAAAACCATAGCTTGTGTCAGGTGCACCTTAGTCCTCAAGGAGACATCTTTGCTCTTCACCACTTGAAAGAGGTCCTTTGCAGCCTATTTGCCAGTGCTATATGTTGTCTGATGTCCTGACTGCTGCTTCCATTGACATCAATTGTATAACCAAGCAATGTGAAGTCTTTGATAATTTCAATCTTTTCTCCATTTATTGTAATGGCTTACAGTACAAGTTATGAGGATTTTTGTTCTCTTTATATTGAGATAAAATCATACTGCAGACTATAATCTTCAGTCTTCATCAGTAAGCACTTCAAGTCATCTTTACTTTCAGCAAGCAAAGTTGTATCATCAGCATATCACAGGTTGTTAATGATTCTTTCTCCAAGCCTGATGCCACATTCTTCTTCATATAGTCCAGCTTCTTGGATTATTTGCTCAGCACACAGATTGAATAAGTATCATGAAAGAACACAATCCTGATGCACTCCCTTCTTGATTTTAAACCATGTAGTTTTCCCATTTCCTGTTCAAATGACAGCTTCTTGTACAGGTTTCTCATGATTACAATCAAGTGTTCTGGAATTCTTATTCTTCTCAATGTTATCCACAACTTGTTTTGATCCACACAATTAAATGCTTTTGCATAGTCAATAAAACACAAGTAAACATCTTTCTGGTATTCTTTGCTTTCAGCCAAGATCCATCTGTCATCAGCAATGATAACTCTCATTCTATGTCCTCTTCTGAATCCAGCTTGCATTTCTGGGAGTTCTCTGTCAATAAACTGCTGCAACCATTTTTGAATTATCTTCAGTAAGATTTTATTTGCATGTGATATTAATGACATTGTTTGATAATTTCCACTTTCTGGGGGATCATCTTTCTTTGGAATGGATACAAAAAACAATCTCTTCCATTCAGTTGGCCTGTTAGTTGTCTTCCAAATCTCTTAGCATGACTGAGTGAGTGCCTCCAGCAGGACATCTATTTGTTGTGACATCGCTGTGGGTATTCCATGAATTCCTGGAGCTTTGTTCTTTGCCAATTCTTTCAGTGCAGCTTTGACTTCCTCCTTCAATATCATTGATGGTTAAATATATGCCACCTCCTGAAATGGATGAAGATTGAATAGTTCTTTTTGATGCAGTGACTCTGTGTTTTCCTTCCATCTTCTTTTGGTGCTTCCTGTATCATTCAATTATTTGCCCATAGAATCTTTCAATATTGCAAATCAGGCTTAAATTTTTTCCTCAGTTCTTTCAGCTTG